CTTTCTTTGGCCTTTTTTGGACGAGGATCGTTGATTCTCAAATGGGACAGGCGCGGAGCCAATACATCTCGTGTTGTTCCGGTTTTCTTGACGGTTATCGACGGGTTCATCGAATACAATGGAAAAATTCTGATCTCTCCTTGGTTGTGTGTGTGTGTCCCGGTCTTGACATTTCTTCCTGAGAGAGGCTTTATTCATTCGGCGACGCGCGAGCTGGGCGCGCCTTCGTTTATGGTTCCAGTATCCACTTTTCTTTTCGTTTAGTCGCGCGAATATGCTTGCCCGTTTGCGAAGTATCCTTAAAAAAATTACAAACGCATCTTTGGCTCCCCCCGAATGCTTCCCTCACCACGTCCTAATAATGGTCTGCATTCTCGTGCACGCTGCAACAGAAAACACGGGAGACTTGTAGTTAGACTGACAAGAGTACTCGGATGAATTATGAAAAAGATCCGTGGAATTAAATAAAACAGCCTCCTGTTAACTGGTCTAAGTTCACACTCATTTTCTAACAATCTGTAATTTTCTCATTTGTGATACGAAACATAGTGATTTTATCAGTCGACTTATTTTAAATGGTTAATTCAAACTACAATCCATACGAATGCTTACTGATGAAAATTTGCCGGTTAACGGGGTAATCTACTTAGCGCTTAGGTATTATTCAGAGATTACAATAGTAATTCAATGTTATGCATAAACAAAAATAAATGGGTTTTACATCAAGGAATATTTAAAAGAAACCAATGAAACATTACATTCTATGAAGACGGATATCGAAATGTGAATACTGGTGGCAAATGGAAAACCTAACCTATGCTGACTGTACTGTAGCTCTTTACTTTAGTCACTATACACTGTACAGAGAAAACTGTCCCTAAGCTGTACAACAGAAAAACAAGTGTCGTATTGAGTTCGTCGAGCAAAACGGATCCGCAGGGTTGATGTTAGTTCCAAAAGCAGGTCTCGGAAGCCGACGATCGCGAGTGCCTTCGTAGGATGATTAGTGATTCCTTGTTACATCGAAAGTAGAACAACAAAATCACTAGTCTTCCATACAACGGCACTCGATTTAAGTCCCCCACTGCGTTGATCTAGCAGATCTTCGCTTCTCTCTCTCTCTCTCTCTCTCTCTCTCTCTCCCTCTCTCT